GATGACTTGAACAACACTACTAATAAAATGTACCTACCTGACATTTATAGAACATGTCATGCAGAAATAGGAGAATACACATTGTTTACAAGAGCACGTGAAACATTTTTCAAGATATATTCTATATTCTGAGCCATAAACAATGCATAATAAATTTAAAAGGATTCAAGTTAAACAAAGTATGTTTTCTGAACAATCTGGAATTAAAATAGAAATCATTAGCAGAAATCTATCTGGAAAATTCCCAAAGGTTTGGAAACAAAGTAACATATTTGTCAATAATCAGGGGTAAAATAAGAAATCAAAAAAAATTAGAAAATATCTTGAAAAATAATCAAATGAGAACACAATATAGCAACACTAGTGGAATGCCATTTCAGCAATATGTAGAAGGAAATATATAGCACTGGATTTCTACTTTAGAAAAAAGAAAAGATCTGAAGCCAATGACCTCATCTTCCACTTCAAAAATTAGAAAAGAAGAACAAATTGAGCCAAAGCAAGCATTAAAAGGAAAATAATAAAGATCAGAATGAAAAATCAATAAAATAGAAGACAGAAAACAATAGAAAAAAATCAATAAAACCAAAAGCTAGTTCTTCGAATAGATCAATAAAATTTAAAAATCTCTAGGTACATTGATCTAAAAAACTACTTAAGACACAAATTAATCAATATTAGGAATTATAGAGGTGAGATCACTCAGATTCTACAGATATTAAAAGGATAATAAGGAAGTATTATGAGCTTTATGCCTATAAATTTTTAAACTTAGATAAAATGGATAAATTCCTAGCGAGGCACAACCTACCAGAGCCCACTCAAAAAGAAATAAAGAACCTGGACAATCCTCTATTTATGGAATAAATTGAATGTTTAGTTTAAAATGCATGCATGAAGAAAATTACAGGTTGACATGGCTTCACTAGTGAACTCTACCAAACATTAAGAGAAGAAAGAATAACAAGCCTTACAAACGTTTTCTGAAAATTAAAGAGACGAGAATAATTCCAAATTATTTTATGAATGTATTATTTCTCTGATTCTAAAGTGAAACAAAGAAAACTACAGATGAATAACTAACTCTCATGAACATAAATGCAACATTTCTAAAGAAAGTTAGCAAATCCAATCCAACAATATGTAAAAAGGATAAAACATGGTGAACAAGAAGGGTTTATCCCAGGAATGCGTTGATTGGTTTTGATATTCAAAACCCAATCAATGTAAATCACTATTAACTACAAATAAAAGCAATATGATCATCTAAATAGATGTAGAAAAAAAGTTTGAAAAAACTCCACACCCATTCCTGATTAACAACAATTAGAAAACTAGGAATAGGAGAGCATTTCTTCAACCAATTGAACAATTGAAGGGTAGCTATGAAAAACCTACAGCTAATATCATATTTCATGATAAAAGATGGAGTTTTCTTACACTAAATTCAAGAACCAGGGAAAAGTGTCTATGCTCACCACTCTATTTAACAGTGCTGGAAATACCAGCCAGCAAAACAGACCAAGAAAAATAAATAAATGGCATAGACTGGAAAGATTCATAGTTGGCACAATTATGTATATACAAAATCCTCAGGAAGTTACACTTTAAATACTAGAATTCAAAAGTAAGTTTAGCAACTGTATTAGTTAGTTTTTATGCTGCTGATAAAGACATACCTGAGACTGGACAATTTACAAAAGAAAGAGGTTTATTGGACTTATAGTTCCACATGGTTGGGGAGGCCTCAAAATCATGGCAGAAGGCAAGGAGGAGCAAGTCCCATCTTACATGGATGGCAACAGGCAAAGAGAAAGCTTGTGCAGAGAAACTCCCATTTTTAAAACCATCAGATCTTGTGATACCCATTCACTGTCAGGAGAACAGCATGGGAAAGACCCACCCCCATGATTCAATCATCTCCCACAAGGTCCCTGCCACACCATGTGGGAATTATGGGAGCTACAAGATGAGATTTGTGTGGGGATGCAGAGCCAAACCACATCAGGAACAGGTCAGAACACAGAAAAAAATGTAAAATATCACTGTATTTCTGTGTACTAGTAGTGAACTGTCAGATGTTAAAATTCAATTTCTTATAATGGCATCAAAAATATGAAATACTGGCCAGGTGTGACAGCTCACACCTGTAATCCCAATGCTTTGGAAGGCTGAGGTGGATGGATCACTTTGAGGCCAGGAGTTCAAGACCATCCTGGGCAACATGGCAAAACCTCGTCTCTAATAAAAATACAAAAAATTAGCTGGGCACAATGGCCTACGCCTATAATCTCAGCTACTTGAGAGGCTGAGACACAAGAATCACTTGAACCCAGGAGGCAGAGTTGGCAGTGAGCCAAGATCACACCACCACACTCCAGCCTGGGGAACAAACTGAGACTCTGTCTCAAAAACAAAAACAAAAACAAAAATAAAACTTATGGGTAAATCTGACAAAATACGTGTAAGATCTATACACTAAAAACTATAAAACATTGCTGATATAAATTAAAGAAGACCAAAATAATCGGAGAGATATACTTTGTTTAAAGGTCAGAAGACTCGGTATTGCTAAAATGAGAACTCTTCCAAATGCAGTGCTAATCAAATTTCTAGCAGGCTCTTTGTAGAAATTGAAAAGCAGATTTGAAATTCATATGGAGTGCAAAAAAACCCAAAAGAGCCAATATAACTTTGAAAAAGAGAAAAGTTGAAGTTCTTAAACTATCTGCTTTCAAGATTTATTATAAAGCTACAGGTGATCAAAATATTCTAGTACTAGCAGCAAGATAGAAGAAAAGATCAATGAACCAAATAGAAAGTCCAGAAATAGACACACACACTCAAAAATATGGACAACTGATTTTGGACAATAGTGCAAAAGTAATTCAATGAAGAAAGGATAGCCTTTTCAACAAACAGTACTGGAAAAGTTAGATTCCTGTATGCAGAAACAGACAAAAACAATGAAATTGAATGCAAATGTGCATCATATAAAAAGAAGTGATTCAAATGGATTGCAGATCTCAATGTATATAAACCTTTAGAAGAAAACATAAAAGAAAATCTTAATGACCTTGGGTTAGGCAGAGTTTTTGTATTTGGTATGACACCAAATACACAATCCATAAAAAATAAATTGATAAATTAGACTTTATCAAAATTTTCATTCTTTGAGAGATAACTATGAAGAAATTGAAAAAGTAAGCCACAGATTGGGAGAAGATGTTTGCCAAGAATACATCTTATAATGCACTTATACCCAGAATATATGAAGAATTCTTAGAACTCAATAATAAGAAAATAGCCCCATTAAAAATAAAATAGAGAAAGGATTTCAACAGACATTTCCCCAAAGAAGATATAGGGATGGCAGTAAGCACACGAAAAGATGTCAGCATCATTAGGGAAGTTCAAATTAAAACAACCATGTGATACCACTACATATATTTTAGAATTGCTAAAATTAAGAAGACTGACCATATGGGGTGAGGATATGGAGGAAATGAAATTCTCATACAATGCTATTGGTAATGCAAAATCAAACAACCACTTTGAAAAACAGATTAGAGTTTTGTAAAAAGTTAAACATGCACCTACCACATGTCCCAGCCTCTCAATTCTACCAGAAAAGAAAGCAGATATCCATACAGAGACTTGCACACAAATGTTCATGGTACCTTTATTGGTAAATAGCCCCAAACTGGAAACAACTAAAAAGTTCATCAACAGATGAATGGATAAACAAATTGTTATATATCCATACAATGGACTATTACTCAATAAAAAAGAGAAAAAAGAAAATAATAATAATAGATAATCATAACATGGATGAATCTCAAAAGTAATTATATTGAGTAAAATAAACCAGTCAAAAAAGACTATATACCATTTATTCCATTTTAATAAAACTATAGAAAATGAAAATCTTTGGTGATATAAAACAAACTAGTAGTGAGGAAGAGAGGCCTGGGAGGGAAATTACAAAGGTACGTGAAGCAACTTTTGGGAGTGATAGAAATATTTACTATATTGATTGTTATGATGGTTTCATGGACATATACATATGCAAAAACATGTTCTACACTTCAGATATGTGGAATTTTTGTAGGTTACTTACACAGCAATAAGCCTGCTCAAAAAAGTAAGTCAAGCAATGGAGGGTACCAAGATTTTACTTGCATATGACTGTTCTCTATCTAGCCTGCAAACAGGTGCACACAAAAGCTACATCTTTAACTGGAGCTTGCCAGGCAACACCTCTGCAACATTATGCAAATCACTGTGAGAAAGAGACAATAATTATGTTAAAAACCACCAAAATATGTTTGTTTCCACACACTTTTTTTTTTAATTCCCAGATCTGGGGTGTCTACAGTATGTGCCTGCCAGTTAACCTAACTTGGGGCTTTTCACTTTGGTTTAAAGAATCTGAAATTGAGCTCTGCCCAAGTTAAGTGCATGTGGTGATTCATGTGCATGGAAAGTACCTTGGGCTGACCACAAACTAGAGTTCCCTACAACTACATCAATGTCAAAACTAACCGCTGTCTCCTAGGTTGTTTGTTTAAAAAAAAATCCCATGGTCTTCAATTTGATCATTTAAAAATAATCTACAAGGTATACTTCTTTTCTGTTCTTGTTGTTTCCTAACTTTTAAGATTTCTATTTTTTCACCCTGTAGATCTCATTCTCACTAGAGAATAATTTCTACATTATGCTCAGGCTCTTCTGAGCTGTGAAGGGGCCCAGATTTAGGGGCTGTTCTTAACACCCTAAATGTGCCAGGACAAGTCGTTAAGGTGGTCCTGCCAGGACACAGCCATCAAAAGCAGCAATCTGCTTCTTGCCAGAAAATCTTGTGCCTCTGCAGAGCCTTTTCCAGAATGAACCACACCATGCTGAGGTAGGGTAGAAGGGACAGGACACCAATAGGCCTGGGTGTTCTAGGACAACAGGCCTAGAACTTCTCATCAGCTCCTGTTTCTTTTTATCTCTAGAAACGGAGAAAGAGACCACCTACTGCATTTCTGTCCCATGCTGAAAAGGACACTCTGTCAGAGAATCTTCTAGCAAACTTCAAAGAGCAAAATCACCCTTTGTTATGGATGAAGTCCAGAGAGCTTCAGCAGCTAACATTCCCTGGACAGGGTACAGCAAGGATTTGAACCTAGGCCAGTCTGGCCAGAACACTCACAAGCTTTCCTTAACTCAGTGGGCTATCTCCCCAAGACTAGGTCACTACTGCTTTATTATCACCTTTGTAGCCACCAGTGGATTTTGCTCATCAGTATTTTCCAGGTAATTGATACTTTAGATGTTCAACTGCAAGACGTATGCAGTTTTCATTGACATCTTTTGGAGAAACTGACAAACCTGGACTTGACTTAATGTCTTTGGAACCTTCCAAGATGTTATATAACTCTAGATAGAAGGCTGGGCCTCCACAAGGTCAGGAACGTTGCATTCTTATTTTGCCATAGATAAACCCATTTGTCCACAAAGTCAAGAAGTCAGGCAGAGGCCCTTGCCATGGGGCTTTTTAGGATGGAGTAACACGCTTGGACTTTGCTCTGTGACAGGGTTTTGCATAGGGAGTGGTATGACCAGATCCCTCAAGAAAAAAAGCTTAGAGACCAGGCCAGAGTGCACTGCAGTAGCCCAGTCAAGAGAGGATGGTGACTTGAACTTTAGTAGAGCCGTTAAAATGAAAGAAATTGACACATTCAGAAATGGTTTTAGAGGTAAAGTCAAACTGGACCTGATAAAGAACTAGAGAAATGGAGTGAGGATAAAGAGAAGAACCGTGACTGACTCGGAAGATTTCGTCTTGAAAAACTTGAGAACTCAAGACAGAGTAAAATAAAATCACGTGGGAAAAATCTCCCGCTTTGTTTTGGACAACTTTGAAGTGAAATGCCTGTTAAGTCTAAGTGGGGTTGGCCATGGCGTACATGAGTGTGGGCTCAGGATGGATACAGGCATCAGTAGTGAGCAAATAGAACTTAAAGCCAGGAGAGAAGAAGGGGTCACCAAGAGAGACAGTGTGGCATGGAGAAGAAAAGAGGTGGGAGATGACCCCTGGGCAGAAAAGTCCTTAGAGCAGAGGCAACAGGCATGACCAAGAAGACTAAGAAAGAACATTCAGTACAGCAGAAGGAGAGCAAAGAGTGTGTGGTGTTCTAGAAGCAAAGAGAATAAAGGGCTTCAGGAAGGAGCAATCGAGTGTGTCAAATAAGATAAAGACAGACAAGTCCCCTGGATTGGGTAGGAATAAATAACAGCAGGCTGCCATACAAATGGTTCCATCTACACCGTCTAAAAGAATATTGTTTATTCTCCATACATTTAATAAACACCTGCCATATGCCAGGTATCCTTTCAAGCACTGAAATGCAGACATTCATAAAACATGGTCTCTGCTCTGGAGGAGCTCACAGTGGTGAGGAGGAAACAGGCAATAGCGAGTGTTCTCATTGCATTTTTGACCCCATTGATCTCGCAACAGCCCCATGCATCAGTTATTGCCATTATACCATTTTACCAATAAGGAAACTGTGACAGGGAGGGGTCAAGCACCTTGGGTATTTGACAGCAAAACCAAGGCTTGGTGGTAACGTAAAACTTCCAAGTAGTAATTCACAAAGGTGACTGGGAAATGACCAGAAATCTTTGCACTATGAGAACAAGTTCATCTGAAATACAGATGGACTTAGGATGACGCTGATACCTTCTTGTCCAGGTGGTATAGCTCCAGACCAAATGTCTGCTGCCACCTACCCAACAACTTGTTGGGTAAAAATGGCTACGCCTATAGTCAAATGATTTTTGACAAAGGTGCCAAACAGTTAGATGGGAAAAAGGAAGTTCTTTTCAATAAATGTTGCTGGAGCAACTAGATATCCATATAGAGGAAAAATCTTGACCACCTACCTCACACCAAACACTAATATTAACTCGAGATGGATCATAAACCTAAGTCTGAAAACTAATAGTAAAGTTCTTCCGGAAGAGAACATGGGAGAATGTCTTCATGATGTTCAGGTAGGCAAAGATATTTTAAGACACAAAGATGCAATAAGCATAAAATTTGTAAAGAAGTGACTGAGGCTTTATCAAAATTAAAATTTATGTTTATTAAAAGACATCAAGAATAAAGGGAAAAGGGCAGCCACAGACTGGGAGAAACTCTTTACTATGCATATACCTAACTGAAGCTCAAATCCAGATTATATGAAGAACTCCTTCATACTGATACCCAGGGTCTTGATTGCATGCCCCTAAATCAATTGATTCTTCCTTTTTGAAATGCATTCCCACAAGGATCTAGGCTTTGCGAAGCCATGCAAGTAGAGGCAGAAGTAGTTTCAGCTTTGGAAAGGGCCACTCTGCTGGGGAGAGTGTCCCTGACCGGCCGAGAGAAGATGTTCTTGCAGTCAGTGCTGATTCCAGGGGGATATAGAATTTGGGGCCTGGGAATTTTAAAAAAGGAAAGCCAGTTAATAGTTTTATTTTACTTTTAACATGACAGACAGGAGAACAACCAGCAGGACTCCAGGCTTACCCTGACATTTTTGTCAAGTATTTTAGGGTTCTCCAGAGAGCCAGAATCAAAAGATGTGTGTATATACAGTCATGTGTTGCTTAACAACAGGGATACATTCTGCGAAATGTGTCCTTAGGCAATTTCATCGTTGCGCAAACATCATAGGGTGTATTTGCACACACCTAGATGGCATAGCCTACCACACACCTGGACTATGTGGTATAGCCTGTCACTCCTAGGCTTTGTACAGCATGCTACTATACTGAATACTGTAGGCAGTTATAACTCAATGGTAGGTATATATGTCTATGTAGACATGTCTAACATAGAAAAGGTACAGTAACAATACAGTATAAAGAGTAAACATTGCACACTTGTACAGGGCACTTCCAGTCAATGGAGCTTGTAGAACTGGAAGATGCTCTGGGTGAGTCCGTGAGTGACGGGGACATTACACTGTGCACTTACGCTACGCTAAATTTAAAAAAAAAATTTTTTTTAAAAAGTTAGCCTTAGCTTACTCTTTTTTACTTCATAAACTTTAAACTTCTTTTTAACACTTTAACTCTTTTGTAATAACACTTAGCTTAAAACAAAAACACACTGTAAAGCTCTACAAAAATCTTTCTCTATATCCCTATTCTGTAAGTTTTTTTCTATTTAAAATTTTTTTCGTCTTAACTTTAAAACTTTTTTGTTGAAAACTAAGACACAAACACACATTAGCATAGGCCTACACAGGGTCAGGATCATCAATATCAGTATCTTCCACCTCCACATTTCATCCCACTGGAAGGTCTTCAGGGATAATAACATGCATGGAGCTGTCATCTCCTGTGATAGCAATGCCTTTTTCTGGAACATGGCCTGAAGGACCTGACTGAGGATCTTCTTAAGGAAGTGTCGCTCTTTTCAGAAATATGTCCATAGCAGTTTTCTTGGTTCTTTCTTTTTTTCATCATAGATATGTTTGTAAGCAGATAATGCAACATGAACATTCCTCTCTATTAATAAAAACCTTTCAGTGGTCACTTTCAAACTTCAGAGGTCACTTTCAAACTTTTTAAAGAAAAAAAAACTTTTTAAAGAAAAACAAGCAAAAGCTTCTGCTAAATGCTTCACTGTGAATTTTCTCAGGAGTTTCTTCTTTTCTTCTCCTGCAGTTTCTTTTCTCTTGCTTCTTCGGCTATGGGTTCTGGTTCCAGTTCCAACGACTCATTAGTCAGTTTCTCAGGAACCATTGTTTGCTGTCTCAACCACAGCCTTGTTGGGTAATATGTTGTCCTGTGACATTACGATGGCTATGAAATCACTAGGTGATAGGAATTTTGTTATATAATAATATATATTATATTATATATAATTATATATAATACATAATGTAATATATTATATATAATATATAATAAATAATGTAATATATTATATATAATATATAATAATACATTATATTACTCTATTATAATCTCATGAGACCATCATTATATATGTGATCTATTATTGACCAAAACTTTGTTATGCAGTGTGTGACTGTATATATAGGTATATGAAGAAGTTGATATTAAGGAATTGGTTCACATAATTATGGAGACTGACAAGTCCAAAATCTGCAGGTTGGGCTGGCAACCTGAGACCTGTCTCTTATACACATCTAGATGTGTATAAGAGACAGCTCTAATGAACCAAAACTTTGTTATGCAGTGTGTGACTGTATATATAGGTATATGAAGAAGTTGATATTAAGGAATTGGTTCACATAATTATGGAGACTGACAAGTCCAAAATCTGCAGGTTGGGCTGGCAACCTGGAGACCCAGGAAGAGTCAATGTTGCAGTTCAAGCCTGAAGGCCATAGGCTGCCGAATCCACTCTTGCTTAGTCTTTTGTTTTATTCAGTCTTTCAACTGATTGGATGAGGTCCATCCTCGTTATGAGAGTGATCTGCTTTACTCAAAGCCCATCCATTTAAATGTAAAAATCTCATCCAAGAACACCTACAGAAACGTCTGGAATAATGTTTGGCCACATGTCTAGACACTGTAGTCCAGCCAAAATGATGCTTAAAATGAACCATCACACCAACTGTGCTATTGACTCGTACCCACCAAGGCGAGACATGATCAGAGACTGAGCAATTTTCACAGTTTGGACACAGCTATGAGCAACACAGCAGTGATTCAGCAAGTTCACAATAGTTTTACCAGGCAGCCAATTGAAGCAGATGACAGCTACTAGGAAAGACACTTCTCATTTTTGTGAGATGTGCTCCTGTGGCTGAAAGATTGTGTGAATGAGGTAGATTGAGAGAAGAGCCAATTGATTTAGACTGCTGCAATCAAGGCAACTGGATAGTCTAGTGATGCCAGCTCAGAAAAAGAACAGTAAAGTATAGTGAAAACAAAATTCTATTTAACCTGGTTCTAGCAGAGCACCAGCAAGTAAGGAAAAAAAAAAAAAAAAAAAAACACAGCTGCAAAGAAAACTCAAGACGCCCCATAGAGAGGGTACTTTGGGATCTGATGCATGCTTGCTGATGGCACCCATCCGTCCTGTCTCTGCTGGACGCCTAGCAGTGTTCCTCACCTGCACTGTAGGTGTCTAATGCATGCTAAGTAAAAGTGATATTAAGAGCTGCTTGCCAAATTCCATTTCACATTGTATCTCAGAATTTCTTTTAGTTTTTCTAGAAATGTAACTACTATAATGGACCTTAAAAAGGTACAAATGGGGCCAGGTGCTGTGGCTCACACCTGTAATCCCAGCGTTTTGGGAGGCCGAGGTGGGTGGATCACTTGAGGTCAGAAGTTTGAGACCAGCCTAGTGAACACGAAGAAATCCTGTCTAAAACTACAAAAATTAGCCGGAGTTGGTGGTAGGCACCTGTAATCCCAGCTACTCAGGAGGCTGAGGAAGGAGAATCACTTGAACCTGGGAGGCAGAGGCTGAAGTGAGCTGAGATCACACTAATGCACTCCAGCCTGGGCAACAGAGAGAGACTCCATCTCAAAAAAAAAAAAAAAAAAAAAAAAGCACAAACGGTATTCTGTATCTGAAAATTGTTTGGATTAACTTTTGATCTTTTGCCTGCAAGACTCTGTCTCAATGTAATCCAGCCCGGGCGAAAAAACGAGACTCCGGCTCAAAAAAAAAAAAAAAAAAAAAAAGCACAAACGGTATTCTGTATCTGAAAATTGTTTGGATTAACTTTTGATCTTTTGCCTGGTTAAAGAATTAAAATTCTTATCTCAGATCATGCTTAAACTATACCTTATTTCTTCTCATCACAATAGAATAAATTAGTGTCATTTCTGATACTTGATTGCCTCAAGGATATTTTAACACAATTTTGTTTCTTGTCTTTTGTACCACTCATTTGAAAACTTATGGTCTTAATGCAAATAATCTGATAGTAATAAAAGTATAACCCCTAGTAATTTCCATATTGCTGCCTCGAGAAAAGTTAAAGACATCCCAATTTATTCTGGCAAGAAAAAAATTTTTAATAAGCAAAAGCCTTGTCTGACCAAGTGCTTCACAAAAGAGGATATCTAAATGGCCAATAAGCAGATGAAAATGTTCTCAAACCATTATTTATCAAGGAAATGTAAATTAAAACCACAACAAGATACCATAACACACCCACTTAAGTGTCTAAAGAGACTGACCATACCAAATGTCGGCAAGTAGACAGAGCAAATGGAGCTCTCACTGCTGGTAGAAATGCAAAATGGTATAGTGACATTGGACAAATATTTGGGATTTTCTAGCAAAATTAAACACTCACCTCTCAGATCACCCAGGAATTCTACCCCTAGGTTTTTATCAAATAGAAGTAAGTGCAAATATCCATCAAAATACTCATAAGCTTTATTTGTAATAGCTAAAAACAGACACAACTCAAATACCTATTAAATGTTTATCCAGACGCAATCCAAATACAATACAGTCATGCTCTGCACAATCATGGTCCCATGAAATTATAATGGAATGAAAACTTCCTATCACCCAAGTGCACACTGTTTATAAAGTCTACAGTGGTGTACAATAACATCCTAGGCTTTCACATTCACTCACCACTCACTCACTGACTCACCAGAGCAACTTCCAGTCCTGCAAGCTCCATTCATGGTAAGTGCCCTGTACAAGCGTACCATTTTTATCTTTTATACCACATTTTTACCGTACCTTTTTAAATTTTTAGGTATGTTTAGATACACGAATACTTACCATTGTGTTACAATTGCCAACAGTAGTCAGTACAATAACATGTGGCAAATGTTTGCAGCCCAGGAGCAGTAGGCCATACAGCCTGGGTG